AAAATTGTTAATTGGAAACATTTCTAGTTTAAGTTTATACTGGCAATTTTAGTGAAGTTGCTTTGGGTTTGCACCAGCATAACTGATCTATGTCCAAGTCCAGCTCCCAAAAAGAGCTTAGTATTTCTTCCCGTTTCCTTTGTTGTGAACTTGGAACTTTAAGTACAGCTAGATTAAGCTCAACAAGACCACATTTTGAGCTGATAGCTCAACCTGACAAGTTTTCTTGGAAGCAATGATATCAGCCTATCTGAAATAGGGAATTTTTTCCTCTGAAACCAGAGTGGAAGTCTTTTATGCTCCTGTCTATTTATTGAAGGCATCTATTGAGTCTGTATTTCGTCAGAAATTATAAAGCTCTAAACTGTTCCAAAGATGCACTATTTTCACATAATCAACTCTCCTTGCTATTTTTAATGTTGGGGGAAAGGGCTAATATCAGATGCAAGTATAATATGAACTACATATCTTTTGAAAATTATTCCTCTTCCCTTGCCATTTTGTTCTGTAGGTAAATTAACAAGTATGTTGTGAGGTGTTTCTTCTAGCTAGTGTAGTCAGAGTGCACGCTGATATATGCTGAAGTGGAGTAAGCCATATTGTCAGTCTACCTTTACATTCTGAATGACTTTGGCAAATAACTTTAAGGTGCACTTTAGAAATGAGACTCATCCTGCCTAGATCTGCAGTGGTATTTGAACAGTGAAAAGATGCCTATGCGTTTCCTCAGAATGTAATTTGTATCATTAAAATCTGGTTTTATTTTCACTGCTATACTTTATTCATGTGCCAAATGGCTTGCATGCCTGGCTGTTTTGATTATAGTGAAACTGTAGATTTTCCAGATACAGCTTTAACTTCCTTAGTCACTACGTTTCTCGTTACTGTCAGAGCTGCCAGAGAACAACATTGTATAGAAGTTGTCACTCCATTCTCTTGCCTAGCTTCACTGTTAATCATCATTTATACTTGCACTATATTTTTCATTCCAAAATACACACAAATTAAACAGAAAAGGAAACACATGAAGAAATAATCCAGCACCTCACCGCACAATAGCTCATGGGAGAAATACTGGCCAAAAGGCAGCTGATATAGGAAGTTCTTATATGAAAGAATTTAATCCAAAACCTACTTACAAATTTAAACCGAGGTCAAAGAGCAGATGGGACTGAAACTTTTAGAGCCTTACCCACCTCTGCAAAGTAAAGTGCAAGAACTTGTTTGTCTGCCCTCTCAAATGAAGAGATACAGGGCTGGCTTGACTTTGCTGACCTTCATATGCCTTTTTCAAGGGAGTCTGCACATCAGCCCTGATGCAGAGGGACTCTTCCAGTTATGGGAGATGACCTTTATACGTGTAATTGCAGTCAGCAGTCTTTGACACAGCAGTAAAAAGCTGAAATACTGTCTGTCATTAAAAGAAAGGGGAAATAAGATTTTCACCTTTATGAAAAGGTTTTTCCCTTTGGGTAAGTTTTCAGTTGTTTTTTGGAGTTTGTAAAAGTCATGCTAGATTTTTCAGATGGAGAAAGAGCTCTCCTCGGCATGCCTATAAGCTACTGACTCGTTTGAAAAGTTTGTGATGAAGCCAAGTGCCTGTTCTCTAAAATGATCTTAGCTCTAAGTGTTATGTAATGATCAGCTACATAAAATTATCTAAACATTACAAAACACTGTCCATGAAATGGACAAACGTAATGTTACTATGCAACAATGGCGGGGGGGGGGGGAAGGAAAGAAAATAGCTTTAAACATGGGCTTTCCTTTGATTGGAACATGCAGTCTAAGGGCAGCAGAGCTGCAACTGGACTGTTAAAAGAAATACATTTTGAATAGATTTAGTCTTGTAGTTCGGAAGCAAACATATCTTCAGAGAATAACATATGCTTTCATGCTAATAATTATGCTCATCATATATGTCTGTGGGTAGGCAATCTGCATTTTCTGCAGAGGGGAAAGAACAGGAAGGTCATGTCTGCCATGCTATCCAAGAGCAGACTTTTAACCTAAAGTCCCTGTTACCATGCGAGAGCGGGGAGTGCTTGCTGTGATAACACCTGGCACTTCTAATAGGATCCTTTGATGAAAAGTTATCTTCAGGGGTCTAAGATCAGACATGACAGCTGAAGTAGCTGAATTCCCATCTTCTCTTCCCCCTATCAGCAACTACATCAGACTTCTTCCACATCCTCCCCCTTTCTCCATTGCTGCAAGAAGCACGCTCCCCTTCTCTAAACTGCAGTCTCCTACCGCTGCCTGCTTTCGGTTACTGATATTGAGCTGTTCTGGGTTTCATGCCAGCATCTTCTGGCCCCCCTAGGTTCTGCTCTCTCTACTGCACTCCTGTTGCTTTTGGCAAGAAAAAATGCTCAGCAGCAGAAGCAGGCAATGTACCAAAGTTTCCAAGTAAATGTAGTGTTGCCCAGAAGTCCAGTCCTTCCGGCCAAATGAACTCTGTCAGTCTTTTTCTAGCAAACATTGGAACAGCTGAGGGGTGGTCAGTGTTCTTTGTGGTTAGCTTGTGGCCCAGGGGCTCTTGTGGCCAACTTGGTTAACACCATGATATACTTCAGTTACCTAATTAAATACCAGGTTCCTAGAATTAAGTGTATGTTTCCAACCTGTGAATAGTTATGAAGGTTACAAAAAATTGTACATGCCTATTTAGCATCTAGAAATTGCCAAATCAAGTTAGGTCTCTATTTAGTGGAACTGGTACTAGGTCAGAACTACACAAGCTGAGAACTTAGTCCTTAATTTGCCTTTCTGATTATTAAGCCAATTAATCAGTCAGTGGTAGATTTAACTTGCTTCCTTATGCCTACGTAGCATCAGACTGACAGGAGGCTCCTCATTCTTCTCCATAAGAAGAAAAGCTTCTATTCTTCTGCCCAGAAAAAGAATATTAAATAAATATTCTGTAACCTAAGAATAATTAGGCATAACATAAGGAGAAGAAAAGCTTACTCCTCTGTAGTATACAGAATTATTCACAGTTAAATTCTGCTAAATTCTTCAACTGTGTTGGACATTTTTTTCTAGCACTAATAGTTGCGTTGCAGTAATAGAACAAATGAGCACTATTTATATATAAAAGGAATCAAGCCTCAATTTGGACCCAACACAGAAACTGGGTACAGGGAACCAACCGAGGCTCTCACAACCACTTTTCATTATTCGGAAAAAAAAAAAGTAATAACCTCCCCCACTCCTCAAACTGCTCATAAGAGTCATGCTTCTGCAAACAGATAAGATAATTGTATGAGTCTGCTTTATATAAGGTATACCAGTATATAAGTCATTTTAGTATCACAGGCCAGATCTTTTACAGTACTTAAGATATATAGCTATGTTGCAATCACCGTACAATGTAATGTAAGACATACCTAGCTAGCTTTAAACCAGATGTGTTTGTTTCATTTATTTGGAATAAACTGAAATTGCCAAGAGTATATACCTAGTTTTGTTACAATAGTATCAAATAACCATGATTGCCATTTAGCGATAGGTTCTTGGAGTTACTTGGACACAAATTTGGAGTTTAGCCTTTGTAACACAGAGCCAGAAGCAAGTATTTTGTCTGGTTTTTTTTGCTTGGGTTTTCTAGCCTGCACTGAAGTTAGCTGAGAACTTTTCCCTTAAACAGTCAGCCCCCAGCAAGCCATTGTTACTAGGATCAGTATTTACGGCCACAGATAATTCCAACAAAACCAACGAAACTCACGTAGTAAGTTCTGTTCTAAATATGAATGGCTGACAGGACTCATAGCCCCTAACTTAGAGGGTACTATTCAAAAACAAAAGGTTCTCCTGAGTAGAAGATTCTTTCATGTATAAGTTTGACAGACTGCTCTTTCAGAATGCTCTACTACAGTCTATCCTATTCAGAATACTTAAAAATGTTTAGCTTGTACTAAAATACTTACTAGAAGACATGGAACAACTGAAGGAGGGTAAGCACAATTTAATCCTTTCGTTGCCATTAGAACCCTCAGATAAAAGTTTTTCAAACAGGGTGCGTATTTCACGGGGAGTATAACTTAGATTGAGATTTAGTATGGAAAAAAACAATACTGCATAAATCCTGTGCTTCTGGGTTGCATCATCATATCATCTTCATAATAATACAGTTTATAAGGTACCTACTTCAGTGAAGAAGTAAATGATGTGTAAAATGCCTGTGCTTTGTTACTTTGGAGGAAGAGTAGGCAAATCTTGAAAAGAAATCTCTCTATTTCTTACACTTTCTTCTTTTATAAGTGTTGATTTTCTGGTGCTGATCTAAAAATTGTATTAAAAACCTAGATCACGTGAACATTTTTCAGTGTTTTTAGTATTCCACTAGAGAGAGATTCTACCGAGATCTGCAGTAAAAACAACGTTGAACTGGAAAAAACAGATCTTGCAGCATAGCTGCACAGGGATTGTTGTTTTCCCAGCAGCTAACACAAAGCACAGAATCCCATCTGTGAAGGAAACTGAGCCTATTGGGTTTTGTTGGTGGAAATTTCTTTGCAACTGTAACCACTTAGATTCAAGACTGTTGCCCATTACACTGGGTTGGTAATTTTAGAAATTAACATTTTAGCCTCTGCAATATTTCAAAATACTTTAGACTAAAGTGCCTTTGGAAAAAAGTCTTGATGGCAAAAACATTTTTCTCTTGAAGCAAAAGATTGAAGAGTCATGGTCTTGATGGACCACATTCACTCAAATCTTGGTTGTGTCCGTTTGCTTAGGAACTTAAATGGATTTCAGCAATTTCAGAAAAGATGTCATGTAAGTTAAAGTAAGAAAGTGAATCTGCTTTTATTCTCTAGTTATATTTACATTGTATCCTTCTGTGTATACAAATGATACAAGTTATTTTACACTGAAAGTTTTTCTTCCACCTTGCCATTTCACTGGTTTAAGAATGCTATCTTCATGAATACTTAAGCACAATTCAGATAACTTGCAAGTTACCCAGCCCTTCCTTTCTCCATTGTTCTCCATTCTTCTAATGGCATTCCTATTGAGCCAATATGTCTTTAGAAGTCCAGAAGGTCTTTATTTGTGATAGAGTTAAGAGGTTAAAATTTAGAAGTGTAGCAAGCTTGCTTAACAATCATCTGACATACCTGTGGATGGCAGCTCCGCAGACACTGGAAAGAGAGGCATAGACTCCATCCCCAAAGACATAAAATTGCCATAGAGGACAGTTAGCTGGGCAAAGAACATCTTCTATCTCCTTTTGAAGGTCAAGTCCTCTTGTAAAGCATGTGATAGCTGTGGAAGCTGAAGAAAAAAAGATTTTCAGGTCACTAATTTTTGTTTAAAACCCATACACTGTTTCCAAGTTTAAAGCAATGTTTGAGCTTAAAGTTAGGTACAGTGTCTTGTCTTATGCTCCAGTAAATCTGAATAGATATCTTTGGAGCTTAAAAGTGTACAGCTGTGACAAGGAAGAACACACACTTTTTCATTAATTTTATGAGACAGAAATGGTGAGGAAAAAAGATTGAAAAACTTAATGGTGGAAATAAGAGAATAGCACAGAACATTAAAATAAAAATTCAAGGGATAATACAGGAGGTAAAGGTAGCAGCAATTCAAAACAGCTATAAGTTTACTTGGGAGGCATAAAGGCAAAGGGAAGACATCAGAGGGCTGGTGAAACACGGACTGGGCAGCACACTTCACGAAAGAAATTAAATGGCTCAGAAGTCCCCACAGTAGTCTCCAGCAATGGGACATCTACAAAACGCTTAGGAGACTCTGAACCTTCCATCCAGTGGAGTTCATGAAGCAGGTTGATAGCAACAGTCCCCTTAGCCTCTGCAATAAATCCTACTGATGCTGGTCTTAAATCTTTTTTTTTTTTTTTTTTATCTCCTTGCTCCAGTAATATAGTAATATCAAGAACATTCATACCAATACATTGCAGTTGAGACTACATCATTATCATTGTGAAAATAATTGTCAAATTCACCCACTGAGAAACAGAAGTTATTTATTCAGTTTAGGCACATACATTTTTACATAATACTCCCCCTTTCATTCTTTAATGGTTATACGTTATGTTACCATCATTAAGTTTTTACTACATTTATATGTATACAATGTACATATGCAGACCACCAGTATACAATTTTGTCTGGCAAACTGAAGCTTTTTAAGAACTTAGAGATCATTATCTTGGATACTTAAAATCATTCTACTACTACACAGTACAGTTTATCCAGCCAGTCTGGCAGTTTGGCATATTAAGGCTTTGGCTTACAATCAACATCAATTTAGCATCACAAATTCAACCTGGGTATTTATTCTGAAATTCCTAAGAGCAAATCTTGCCCTTGCCAAGCAACAGAAGATGCAAGAACCTTTTTCTGTATGTACTCAGAGTACTACTTTTTCAGAATGTTAAAATGAGAGCTGACAGAAGCTGGCTAATGTATCAGTATATACTCCACAATATTGTATCCCAAGGGGATGTTTAGGGGATTAGAGATCTGTCCCTCACCTGCTGCTCAACTTCTCTTTCCCTTTTTTTTAAAAGCTGCTTTTATTTGAAAGAATGATTTCCCTAATCAGCAGACAGAAGAGAGCACACTACCATGTACCTCCTACCAGTTCTCATCCTAGTGAGATTGAAGAGAACATTTAGCTGCACAGTAAAATTCATTCTTGGTGCCTAAGTTAACAAAGAACATGTTTTATTTTTAAGTATACACAATCCCCATTAAGGCTATACTGAAATTATTTTATACTACCTAATCACATCTTCCTGAAAATCTTTGTTGCTGTTTGTGGGCACAAAGATGTAAATATGCTATGTCTGGCTGTAATCCAGATTAAGGAAAGAAACAAGCAGCAAACACTTTCATTTTCCCTTCTCAAAATAAATTTCTCCATCTAGCAAGAACCACTGTAAAGTGATTTAATCTGATTCTCAAGTATCCTAAAAATAAAGAAGTATTTTTTTAAGGACTTACAGTCTTATCTGCTCACAACAGCTTCTCCATAAAGCTCATACATTTGCCTTAAATAAACAAGTGTCTGAAAAACAAGCAGAATTGCCATGCTTATGCCCAGAAGAAAAGAGAAACTTTGATAAAGGGCTGATATTAAAAAAAAAAAAAACCCACACATTATTTTCACTCTTGAAAGTGCTACATTATTGGTGTTATGCTAAAAGAAGTTGACCTGCTTTGCCTTTAGAATCCCCTAAGCCTTCTGTGAAAGCTCTACCAGGTGTTAGCTAGTTACTGGGCAGTAAGAAGTTAACATCCACCAAGTGACAGCTACTGATTCCACCAGGGTCAAGCAACAGCTGGAAGACTGGAAACCCTTGGAGGAATCCAAGCATTATTTATCACTGAAGTGAGCATTAATGGTAATCTTTATTCTCATGATACTTCTTGTACCACATACCCTGGAACATTTTTCCAGCCTCTAACAAGTGCAAGACATCATAGTAAGTTTATGGTACCTGTCATTTTTAATGTACTTGTTGATTGAATCCTCTGACAGCCTATGAATACAACAATTAGATACATCTTGTTAACACACCTCTTATGCTGCTTGGAAAACTTATTTCTCTTACACTCCCAAGCATTTAAATACAGTCATTTGTCAGACTAAGGTTTTAGTAGCACTAAAGATAGGGTGGGGAGGGGAGGTAGGGGATATCTTGCTGTGTTTTCCCTAGCTGAGGAAGCACAGAAATCCACTGTAGCCCTATCACTGGGTTTTATATACTGACTGTCTAAAGACTATTATGATCTAGACCAGCAAAGATTTGGGGCGGAGTGTGGGGGGGGCGGGGGGACACCTCCCGAGGGAAGAAAGTAAGTTGCTACTGTATGAAATAAGGAGCTGTAGCTAGGGGCTTTAATAGTTCATACCTCAGTTGGATTAGCAGGGTGGGGACCTTGTAACAGACTTGGAAGTACATTATGCTGTTAATTAAAAAGCAAAATTTCATTTTGCTTTGCTATGTAATTATATTTTCCTATATATAACTGGGACTGATATTGTTATGAGCAGCATCAAAATGAGAAGTGCTGGGCACCAAAATTAAGAGTTATGGTACCAACCTTGCAGTGGATTTTGTTCTTCCCTGATAATTAATGTATCATCACCTACCCAAACCTATGAGCAGTCCAATATGGACAGGAAAGTCTATTAATAAACTCTTAATATTGGACCACATAAAATAGTTCTTTACCAACCTCCACACTAATCATTCTCACAAATTTCATATGTGATACTGTTAAAATTGAAGAAAGCAGTTGGTTTTGTTAATGTACTCAAGATACTTTATCACAGCAGAACCAGCCAAAAGGCCATCTATAAAGTAACCAAGTGTTTTGTCATTGTAATTTAGGAATACAGTAGCAGTTGAGATATTTCTCTGAGTACTAATGTGACCCAGTACTCTAATCTATTCCATGAGAAGTTTAAATCTGTGTATTTTGCAAGAAGGAAAGATGAGCTTGCAGTTTAAAGAAAAAGACCGAGTCCTAGGCTCCTGTCCATTCTGGACTCTGCCAGAAACTGGAGACCACTGTACACATGAACATAAAGTTAAGCCTTCAAAACTGCACTGAAGTGACCATATTCGCACTCAAGATGCACACACTTTACACCTCACAGAAGCACACCACATCTCGGTACATTGCAAACATAAGTACAAATAAAAAAAATTGCATTTCTTCCTGATTAAAGGCATATTTAAAGATAAGAATGGATGTCTTCCATCAGTGTTGACCCTAAAAAAAAAAAAGAGAGAGAAGAAAAAAAAATGAAGGCTATTTTCTCCTAAAAGATCTATCTAGTAACCATACTTTCAATCATTCCATCAGTTTCCATCTTTTTGTTGCCTCATCCCATATACTGATTTGCACTGAATAGCTGTTTCTTACTCCCACATGCAAACATTTTCACTTTTTTTTTTTTTGAAAACAGTCACTAATTTAGAAGACTCTAACAAAATAAAATCCGTAGCTAACATCTGACGCTTGTAACCTTGACAATTCCATCCATTGCTTTGGGAAAGCAGAATTTGTTTCTGTGCACGTAGAAAAAAATCCCCACATACATTATTATAGAATGAGCGATTCCTTAATGACTCCTGTCCCTGTTATGCTGCTTATTGCTTTAGATATTTAGTATTATTTATGAAGCAGGAAAATCTTGCACCTTCAAATAAGCCTGGGTTTTATTTTATGCAGAGACTACTCCCAAGCCTTGTCTGGATTAGAAAACAAACAAAACAGACTATTAAAAATACCTGCTTATATTGGAAAATGTGTTCACATATGTGTGCACATATCCTGATATGGACAAGGTAGGTATGAGTATCTAGGTACCTACCTCACAGGTACATAGATATGGTGTCCCCTACCATATGAATGAATCTAAATCCATTAGTTTTGCAAGGAAACTAATGTTCTCTCATTACTTTGTACAACAGAATTTAGGTTCTTTTAAAAAGGTTTCTGCAAGCTTATAGTGCAATAACCAAGTGCTACTGCATTTGGGCTCAGTATAGTGGTAAGACACAATCTCAAAGCATCTGTTCACATATTGTATAAAAACATTTTGGTACTTTTAGTAAAGTAAAGTTACATTTACCAATGTTCCTTTAATGTTAGTTTAGTTGGTTCCAGATACCTTCAATTTACAGTGGCTTTACAGTCTCCAGTTCTGCGGGGAAGCATTATAGCAAACTTTTCACTTGTTTCCTGCAGGACTGTTGATACTTCTGTAGTGCACCCATAAAATAAAAAGGAAAGGAATTGAGGTTGCAGGTTTTCATTGCCCCCCACTTTTTTTTTTTAAAAAAGTCATAGCACTCCTGTGACATATAGCCGTTATCACAGGAGGACAAAATAATTTTCTGAGTGTTTTAAAACAAAAGAACAGTAATTTTTGCTTCATAATTATTGTGAAATCCTTAAGAATCATCAGGAAAGCTTGATGTCACTCACCCTCTGCAGGGCAGGCCAGTGCCTGGAAGCACATCCTTCAGAGAGTTTGTGCTCTCCCTTGGTGAAAGGCTCTGCTGGAAGGGGCAGATAAGCTGCTTGCATCCCTTTGATGACTTATTTCTTGAACTGTTTCCTACGGCTCCCAATTCCCTTGGTTTGACTCCAGCTCCAGGAGATCATTCTCCAGCAGCAGGGATGCAGTCCAACAACAGGGCATGTAGCAATTGCCAGTTCATGCCCTGGTAGGCATGTTAGTGTTCTCTTTAGCCTTCCAGGGCAAAATAATGGCAGGGCAGGTTTAAAAAGTTTGTATTCATTCCATGGTCAGAAACACATTGGAGATCCTCAAATGGGCAAATGCTCTTTGAATGCCTTTATAACACACACATGCACACACACATACACACATGCTTTCATGCTATCAGCACTCTTCTTGAAGGAGATTTGTTACTGTTGCCCATCTTCAGTCTATGCCTGGAGGAAATTTCCCCCCCGATCTGGAAACTTTCCCAGATATCCTCCATTTTGTTTTGTATCCTTCCCCCACTCTTTTCACATTTCTCCCAGCCCTAATATATATTAACCCTGAGAGCAGTGCCAGGATAACACAGCTACATCCTTGGGTGCCATTCATATCAGCATAGCCCATCTGCTCCGAGGACCGAGTGCGGCAGTCCCATCAGCCCTGCACACGTTTCCTCCATCGCTTCGCCTGGTGATCCCCACGGACCAGCTGCCGCAGTATGGGGGCTCGCTCTTCCCGAGCTCTTGGCAACCGTGACCTAGCGGAGGCCCGGCCCGCCGGCCGGCACCAGGGCAGCGCTGCG